TTACCTTTTGTCACGTTCCCGGGGTTTACAACAGCGGAAGTCTGATAACCCAGTCCAGGGTCAAGAATACCAAGAATGCAAAGCCAGTGTCCATAAATCAACTCACAGAATGAAGTCCAGTGTCAAAGTCCAGAGTCCGATACATAGCGTAGTCGAGGGGCAGAGTCCAGAGTCAGGAACACAGTTCAAGAAGCGTGGATGCAAGCCATGGTTTTGACTCTTTGCTTCCACAGAATTTCTGGCTTCACTGGGAGCTGCTGGAAAGCTTTCTAACCTGTTAATACTCAGGACTAGATGCACATAGGTTTCTGTGGACAGCCTTTGAGCGACCGATCCTCTGATCTTCTTGTCCTAAGTCTTTCCCGAAGCCTGGCCCTTAGCTTGTCTGCTGTGGAAGGAGAATCTCTCAGCATTCTCTTCAGCCTCAGTTAACCCTTCTGGTTCCAGGTCTTCGGATGCACTCATGACACCTTTAAGGATCAGATGATGAGTGTTTTGCTCCTTCTCTTATGCTACAGGGGTAGAAGTACAGACACACTGCTGTTAACTTTCCATCTCTTGCTGCTTAATTTTCTATCTGTATAGTTAGTAGTGATCATTTTAGGGAGAGAGCCTTTGATGGTCTCTGTATCCTCACATTGCTACTGCACCCTCACTTTTGGAAAGATAGATTGTGCCAGCATGGCTTTGCTTCCACCAGTTCTGGTGTATACATAAATATTGTGCACACCTGTTCGTGCTGACTGCTTCAGAGAAAGATCGACCATGTATCTCTTTGCTCATGCTGCCAACTGAAAGAAGAAAAACCAGCCATTGTGATATCATCCTAATTGTGCCACCAGCTTTATGAAAAAACTCTGTCCATTGTGATGTCATGTTTGGTTGATGCTGCTGCTTACTCAGACAAGATAGTCTGCTCTGTGCCCACCAGAAAGAGAGGGATCCACCACCTCCTTCACACCATGTTGCCATCAAATTTCATGTGAAAGATTATCTTTGCACCTGAAACAGAGCTTTCTTATTTTTTTTTTTATGACGATGGCAAATGGCAGTTGCACCTCTGTTCAGGCAGTCAGGTTTGCATCACTGTTGCTTTTTAGGACATTGGTTACTTGCCCTATTAGTCTTGTTCTCACATCCTAGATGCTGGTCTCATGCTAGTTAATCACATGGCAGTACTTGAAGGCTTTCACGGCCGGGATCTGATGGTTCTTGGGTTTTATTTATTTATTTATTTTGGCTCTTTGGCTGTGTTCTGAAGGTTGTTCTTCTTAACATTTCACCCTAGTTAATCACATAGCAGTACTTGAAGGCTTTCGCGGCCGGGATCTGATGGTTCTTGGGTTTTATTTATTTATTTATTTTGGCTCTTTGGCTGTGTTCTGAAGGTTCTTGGGTGTTTGTTGTTGTTTTTTGGCTCTTTGGCCGTGTTCTGAAGGTTGTTCTTCCTAACATTTCACCAGTTTCTGTAGCCGGCATCTTCAGAGGGCAGGAGTCAGAACTCTGTGCTCTGGTACAGTTTGTTTGGATAGTTGAGTATTATCCAAACAAACTGCACCAGAGCACAGACAGAGTTGTGACTCCTGTCCTCTGAAGATGCCGGCCACAGAAACTGGTGAAATGTTAAGAAGAACAACCTTCAGAACACAGCCAAAGAACCAAAACAAAAAAGTTCTATCTCCTGTCTGCCAGTCATTTTTCTAATGAATGGGACTCATTAAAGAATTAGAATTCAAATAGAATTATATGAAAATGAGAAAGTGGCTGACAAACAGCTTCTTCCTATAAAAAGAACAATGGAAAAATAAGTAAAATTTAAAGAATGACAGCTAATTTTAAGAATTAACACAACAATTTCACCAGTGTGGTGAAATGGATAAAATGATTTGGATGGAAAATTCACATGCAAATGTATATATTTCTTTCTTAATGAATATCTTGCCTTTCTACTGAAGTATTATGGACTCATGTAGCCAGGAGCAAGTCACTATCTCCCAAACTAATATATCTCACCGAGGACTATTACTGGGGAGTGGGGTGGGTGACAAGCACTTTGCATATGAAAGTGCTATAGAAATGATAAATAATGAAAACCCTATATCTTTAAAAGCTAATGCTTGGTGGAAATGTCAGTGGAGTGATAACTATGATGAATTATTCCACTAAAACACAACAGTAGTAGAGTTCCTGTGGAATACTGTGGCTCTATCACCCTTTGAAAAGCTGGCAAACGTAATATTAAAATTTGTATAATTTAGCTATGTCCATTTTAAAATACATGATAGGAGCCACCTGGGATCCTACACTCAAGAAAAGGCAGAATGTCAATAAAATAAATGAATAAACTTTGCCAAAATATTCAAGTCTTCTGTTGAATATGTTTATTTGGGATTTTTTCCCCTGTGTTTTTTTTTCTTTCTATTTTATAACAGTGGGGATATCACATTTTGGTCATATCAGGAGGTTGCAAAGTTGTGTCTGGATTTGGTGATCCATAGGGTTCCTTCCAGCTCTGCACTTCTAAGATGATGATGATAATGATGATTTCCTGCTAGTTAGCTATGAGGCCCTCTCTTACCACAACATTAATCAACATCAATTGTCAGTCATACCAGTGGAAGATTTCAAGACGGGAAAACAAATAGAAAGGTGAAAACAGATGGGGTCTGGATGTTGAGATTACTCTGTCGGCATGAAAAGGCAATCTAAACAGGCTTGGTATAAATAAATAATGTCCAATCTCTACCTTTTCATCATCAATGTGCACAATTCATTTGTTTCTCCTAGGAGGAGGAGGTAAATTTCGTTCAGTGCCTTTCTTTGTATGTTATCAGCCTGAAAATAGAAAATGCTATTGCATGGTTGTTATGTGTTGTCAAGTCACATTCAGCTTACAGCAACCCTAATCAGGTTATGTAAGGTATTTAAGGAGTGGTTTTACCGTTACCACTCCACATGAGTTACCATGGTTGAGCAGGGATTCAAACCCAAGTCTCCTGAGTCCCAGCCCATCATTCTCTCTACTATATCACACTGGCTCTTGCTATTATATTAAACTTCCAATCATCTCTTTCTCCCCAGCTGCATGTTTCTTCAGAAGCATATCCCACAGAGGTCAGTGGGAATAAAATGGAAAACCAATTTCAGCAGCCCTAGCAACTTTGCAGATGATGAATAAAAAAGAGAGACCAAGACGGAAGACCAGGACTGGGAACATGTAGCAGAGACAGAGAAACCAGTATCCAAGTGAGTTTCTGCTGAGTGCAATTTCCCTCCAGAACAGGGCATTCTACTGTGTGTGCAAGTGTTGTCATTGTGCAAACAAGGGGCAAATTTTCTACATCCATGATGGCAATGCTTGCGTAAGTAGCAATCCCATGTTACTATGTTAGTAAGTCTTTTTGCTCAGTTAAAACTGCACGACAGACAGCCTTGAGAGCCACCTTAGAAGAATAATCTGTCCTTTGCTATACAGGAGTCTAGTTTCTCATGCAGCAGTCCAGAGTTCGGGTGAACCCCCTTCCCAGATTTATGAGCAGGCAAACGGTGCTTGCATCCTCATTTGCACAAACCAACAACACTGGCAGCTAGCTGTACCAGGGAAAAACAAACAGACAAACAAAGAGCCAACCACGAAGAACAACCTGCTTTTCTGGTAATATTTGATTCCCTGGATGGTGATTTTTCACAAGATCTATTCTTGCCTTTGTATTTTCTTTCTGGTGGAAAAAATGGAGAGGGAGGGGGTTTCACCAAATATTCCCCAGGGATGAGATTCTCTGATAGATTTGCATGTGTAAAAGAGACACATTTTTTCATCCTTACCTATGTGTATTGTTTGATATGCAAGACAAGGATGACAAGTACTGAGCATTGTGTTATTCTGGAAGTAAAACGTTTGCGTCTGTTGTATAGACACTTCCACTCTGTAAAATGTGCACATATCCATAATAGGAATTTGTGAAAATTATGGTCTGAAGTAGCTAGTTTGTACAAAAGAAGTTGATCACTGCTAGTTATATAAGATGATGGCGCAGTCTGATACACTTTTATTACTCCTGTGAAATAGCATTGGTTTGGATCATAATCAAAGTTAACTTAAGACAATGAACAGACAGATGCAGTCTGATACATTTTTATTACGCCTGTGAAATAGCAATGGTTTGGATCATAAAGTTAACTTAAGACAATGAACAGACAGAACATTCCCATCTTCTCCTCTTCCCTGCACTAACCTGTACAACAAAAGGCTCTGGATCAGAGATGCCTCCTGAACAAATGGGATGGAGAGGATCACCCAAAATCAAGTTTGGAATCTGAAGGACTGACCTGTACTACACATGTACAGCAGTCTGATGTCACAGTCACAACTGTGATGTACTTAGAATTCTTTACTGGAGATCTGTAATGCTATAACTCAATATTTGAAGTACCTCTTCAAGCTACACATCCTGGATGCCATAAGATGGAATCCTGATAGTTGAAACATTTATCAAATTGCTTCTAGTTGTGGAGTGTAGACAGAAATAAATTAAGGCTAGAGATGGGCATGAACAATGATTCAGCCCAGTTCACTGTGGCACCTGAGCAGGGCACTGTGCACTTCCCTTCCCCATTTCCTTGGGCAATTACTGACTCACCTACATGAATGCAGACTTGCCCCCTCTGCCTCCTTGGGTGAGCCTCTGCTCACCAGCAGGAGCACATACTTCCCTGCTCAGCCTCCTCATTTGAGTGGGTGATTGCTTGAGGAGGCGGAGGAGGGAAGCACACTCCTTCTGGTGAGTGGGCAATCACCCAGAGGAGGCAGGGAAGGGAAGCACATGGTACCTGCAGAACACCTGTAGGTGCCGTGTGCTTCCCTCCCCTGCCTCCTCTGGGCACAATGCCACACTGGGCTGAAGTGCTAAACCATACTCCTGTCTGGTTAGGTTGGACTTCTTGTGGAATGGTCCAGTGTGAGCTATTTCTCAGTCGTCATCAATGTGCAGGGAATAGCACATATAATACCACTGGAAAGGGAATATTGCATTCAATACATCTTGATAGATAGATAGATAGATAGATAGATAGATAGATAGATAGATAGATAGATAGATAGATAGAGAGAGAGAGAGAGAGAGAGAGAGAGAGAGAGAGAGAGAGAGAGAGAGAGAGAGATTGATTGATTGATTGATTGATTGATTGATTGATTGATTGATTGATTGATTGATTGATTGATTGATTAAGAAGACAAAAATATTGTGGCTCCATAAAGACTAACTGCTATATTTTAGTGTGAGCTCTTGTGGGTCAGCCCTCTTTCTCAGACTATCCTTACTTCTCCACAAAGCTCACACTAAAATATAGCAGCTAGTCTTTAAGATGCCACAACATTTTTGTCTTCTTTATTTTTTTATTTTTCCTTTGTTTTGGATCTGATATGCTAGCACAGACTAACACAACTACCTCTTTTAAAACTCAAAAAAAAATTTCCTGTCTTTTCCTCTCCCAGCAGTACCATATGCTACAATTCAGATTGTACAGAGATATTTTGTTGGAACAAAAGTATCAGGGGAGTTGGAAGGCATAAAAACATTGTTTTAATGGACTTGGTAACTACTTTTAGGATCCAAACTGTTGTGATTTCATTGGTTGTACAGGTGAAATTGGATTTTTTAAAAAATAAACAGTCTTTCCTTCCTTCCTTCTAGTCAAAGCTATGGCTCCATAAAGACTAACTGCTATATTTTAGTGTGAGCTCTTGTGGGTCAGCCCTCTTTCTCAGACTATCCTTACTTCTCCACAAAGCTCACACTAAAATATAGCAGCTAGTCTTTAAGATGCCACAACATTTTTGTCTTCTTTATTTTTTTATTTTTCCTTTGTTTTGGATCTGATATGCTAGCACAGACTAACACAACTACCTCTTTTAAAACTCAAAAAAAAATTTCCTGTCTTTTCCTCTCCCAGCAGTACCATATGCTACAATTCAGATTGTACAGAGATATTTTGTTGGAACAAAAGTATCAGGGGAGTTGGAAGGCATAAAAACATTGTTTTAATGGACTTGGTAACTACTTTTAGGATCCAAACTGTTGTGATTTCATTGGTTGTACAGGTGAAATTGGATTTTTTAAAAAATAAACAGTCTTTCCTTCCTTCCTTCCTTCCTTCCTTCCTTCCTTCCTTCCTGCCTTCCGGATTTTTTAAAAAATAAACAGTCCTTCCTTCCTTCCTTCCTTCCTTCCTTCCTTCCTTCCTTCCTTCCTTCCTTCCTTCCTTCCTTCCTTCCTTGCTTGCTGTTCTTCTCATTCCTCCTTGAGTGAGAAGCAATTCAGCTTTGTATATCTCTGGTTCATTCTGGATCATTTCTCCAACTGGATCAGGGTGCTGCTTCTGATTATCCCTTCTTCACATTTGGCAATATTTCCCTCCATGAAAACCCAGCCCTCTTTTTACACTTTCCTCTTCATTGTCTGAAGGATTGCTGCAGCCATTGACATGTGGCTAGGAGCAGCAGGCAAGACTGCTCAAGCGGGGATACTGAAATCACAATCCATCCACAATCTCTCTGAGATGTCTTCTCCCTTCACACCTCTTACACAATCAAGGCTGACTTCATTGATACTCTTTTTACAGTTAACTGGTCTGCAATATGATGAAGCTTTGCTAGACGCTGTAGACTACTGACTGGAGACAGCTTTCCTAAAATGTAAGGGAAATTGTAGAATGTAGTTGTGTGGTTGTTTTATTTTAGTAGAGCATATCACTTGGAGACTCCGGCTCTATTTTTCTGAATTAGTAATATACTTTAAAGATTGCCTACAGGTGTTTCCAACAAGTCATATTCCTGCAATGAGACAACACTGGAGGCATGAGGTGCCGCTTGTTAGTTGGAGCATTCATTACGGCTTTTGCACTCTTCAAACTAAATAAGACATTGGCACAAAAACAGGATATATACTGCACACTGCATGTACACTCAGAATGTGACCTTGGGGAAAGGGATGGATCTTTGAATTTCTACTTAACTATAGTAGGCATAAGGAACAAAGTGCCATGAAACCATAAAAAGTTATGATAACTAGGCCTAAAATTCTAGACATTCTGTATTTAAACATTCTACGTTTAGAAAAAGAGTTTAAGTTCTTACAAATGCAGTCAGGTTCCCAAAATATGGCACTCATTTTGAAGCAAGGCTATACCTTGCATTTTTAAAAGGGGTGGGAAATGAAGCCATTAGAGTCTTCAGAACTCCCTGTGTGCTACTGCTTCCATAACTTCCCACCCAAGAATGGAAAGATAAGTCTTTCTCGGGTCTCTGTCAATCTTGCCTATGTTCTTTTATAAATCCGTTCCATCTCTTTCTGCATTATATTTCCTTTAAAGGCATGTAAATATGTATAAGTATTTGGCAGACCTTGGAAATTGCCTTTGAAGAATAAAGAAGGTTTTGATTAAACATTAGGAAGAACTTTATGAGAGTAAGAGTTGTTTGCAAAAAGAACCAACTGTTCTCCTTTGTTCAAGGTTTTTAAATAGTGTTAGATGATCATCTGATAGAGATGCTTTTGTTGTGTGGATCTCCAACTTCAGCAGTGGGTCCCAAATCTATAATTCTGTAGTTCACACAAGAAGGAACATAACATAATGACACACTGAAGCCATCTATAACTGAGGAGAAGTATGATGCTTTGGGACCCATTGTTCCACTGCTTAGTCATTTGCAGTTCAGATGGGAAGAGCATGTCAAATGACACATTGCTCTTTCCCCTGATCTCAACAGACCCTTTGTAGCCCGATGCACCCCATACCCAAAACAGCCGACCTAGACAGGCCCTAAGTCAGGGAAGGCCAGTTCGATGCACCCCATACCCAAAACAGCCGACGTAGACAGGCCCTAAGTCAGGGAAGGCCAGTAGAGAGAAAGAACTTGAAAAGGGAAGACAGTAGGAGCAGCATTTAGCAGCTCATGGAGGTGTCAGGATTCAGGGGTGGGGAGGACATCAGAATCTAAAATATAACTGAGTTTCCAAATTCAGAACCATGATGACTTTTCCAGGAGAATAACTTGAATATGTGTATCAAATTCTAAATTGAATTGAGTTTCACTCAAAACTAACCCCATGTAAGCAAACAGCCCCAAAGTTCTATGGCCAACATTCCACGGTTTAATTATTCTAATGCAACAGAAATGGCATAACTCACTACAGTAAATTGCCACTAATTAACAAGTCCCCACATGGATTTCTGGTCAGGCTCCAAGCCATTCAACTAGTGTGCAATGAGGAATCCAAGCAGAGATGTATTAATTAGTGGCAACTTGCCAGTCTGAGTTGACATATCATACAGTAGTGTTACTATGCAACAGGACTTTGGCCTGTGATTCTGTAATTAACAAAGAAAAAGAAAATTGTTGATGAATTCACACAGATTTAATCCAGTCACAGTCTCATTCTTGAACTTACCCATTTCATAGAAATAGTATGATCATCACCTTTATCCTTTTCCTTCTGTTATGACCTGCTCCACTTTCAGCCTTTGACTGCCAGCCTGGTGCTTCTATCAGCAGTTTCTATCAGCAGGGAGCGAGAGAGGCCGTGCCTCACTGCACCCACCTGCCATGCCTTCCCCGCTTCTGTCTCTGTGTCCAGGACTCTGCAACTGACATGCTTATTATTCTACTGAAGATCAAGGGAATCAAAGTGACAATTAAAAGGACTTGGCTGAATGAATTAAAGTGTGAACAAGAAAAAGGGAGAACGAGTATAGGTGTTTTTTTTTAAGAAATGGAATAGATACAGCTGGCAGGGCAGAGGACAGCTCAGAAAATGTAGCATTTCCCCCCAGAATCTGTGTACAGTTCTTTCCCTTTTATTCTCCGCTTTCTATTGGATTCCTTTGCATTCAATACATCTCTAAAAATGCATCTCCACCTGGTGGCAAGTGTTTCCCCAATCACCCTTGTATGAATGGAGGGCAGTCCCCATAACATACATAGCCGTAACCTATACCGATAGATAAAGCAAAGAAGCGGTCTGTGTTGGATTAAATTAGCACAGTTGCTATCAGGAACCATCCTGAGGACAAAGGAAATGGCAGCAGCAAGCTCCCAGAATTTCCTCGGTGTCCTGCATCTAGATTATTATTCATTGTTCTACCAGACAGAGGGAGGAAGAGACTGTGAGAATGAAGGGGACAAAAGCACATCCGACTTTAAGAAACCTCAATATTGGCAGCAATCCAAAGAAGCTATGGCATACGTGGAGACAGGTTTGTGTAAAATGGGAAGGGCCGTGTGTCACACTCCACACAGAGACAGACACATTAAATAGACTTCGATCCCAGGGAAATGAAAAATCACACATTGAGCAGTCCTCATTAATCCTCTGCCTTGCAAAAGTGTGTGTATTCTCTCTGCACAATTAAACATGCTTATCTTGTGGCACTGCATGCAGACAATACAAAATGCACAGCACAGGGCTGGAGCAACACATTCCCTGGGGCAAGTGAAGAGCCTGAGGCAGGGAGCCATATGGCCAGGCTGTAGGAAACGGAGAAGGGAAAGAAGCATTTCTTAGCATTTACCTGACAGGTAAAATCAAAATTGTTGGGTGTTCATTGGCTGTCACTCAAAATCAACAATCAATTATATTTTTTCCCCTTTGTCAAAACTGGGTGAACTATACAGACAGGATATGCTCTTTTTGGAGATTATGTGTGAAAACTTGGAAACGTGGCAATGTCATAGAACAGAACTACAGAATTCAATGTGCCAATTGCAGATTGCAGTTTGGAGCTTTTCAAGTATGGAGGCAGGCCACCTTGAAAGAAAACTTAATGTTTGGCAATAATGTCTCTCTCTCTCAGATACACACACACACACACACCAGTGTAGGGTAGAAGAAGAAGAAAGAATAAGCCAGAGACCCTTATGTAATATTCCCTCTCTGGGGATAATGCTGGAGAAAGTTTGCTTTGGCTTATGCCAGGTTGAAGATCCCAATGCGGTGAGGTAAAATCCAGGTAACAAATGGTGGATACCATGAAACCGGTAGGAAAGAAGAATGGTGGAGAGGAAGACAGACTCTATCATGCTACAGTAAAACTAGAGCTTAATTATTCAAATATTAGATAAGAATGCATAGCAGCTAAGACAGTTGGATACACATTGGGTCCTAAAATTGCATTGACTGTCTGCCTGGAAGATGCAGAATGCTCATGTCCTTCTGCCTTTGCGACTGCATGCTCCACACCCACCATCCATCTTGTCCTACTATGATTTCTGGATTTCAGTGTCAGTTGAAGTAAGTCAACATGAAACCAAATGTCCACAAGCTAATGTAGGACTTGTCCTAATCTACGCTAACCTCAGTGAAATGAGCAGAAACATGGTGTGGGAGGCAATATGCAGCCTAATGACCTTGGGCAGTGGCCCTCCCCTTACTCTCAGAAACTGGAGGATGCTGAAGAGATCCTGCCCCTGCACTGGGAGATGAAATTGTCAGTAATGGAAGCCTAATCCCCTGCCCCCTCATCTCATTTTATGTCAGCACTTGTATATCATTGTGGAGCCTTTTGTTGCCTCTTTGATTCACATTTCTTGTTGCCTGCTTTTTGATGTCTCTTTTTCTTTGTTAACCCCTCAAATGCTTTTTCCCCCCTGGAGCACTCAAGGTTAGCCCTGATCTTCACCAAAAATAGCCTGGGCCCATCCATTTAAATCCATGTCATGCACAAGGTTAACAAATAGCCTCAGTTTGACTCAGAATTTGGGATTCAGTCAAAGCTGTTGCAGAGCTCTAATTTGCACCTTACTTGATGATTTTTCCCACTTGGAAAATAAATGCTCAAATCCTACATTTCACATATCATTAACCTGGCAGCTTTTTGGATCCAAGAATAAAGCCTTGTCTGCACTACTCATTTGCAGTAACATGTAGTCAATAAAATGCCGAATGAACCTGAAGTATCTACACTAGTAAAATATAATGAAGTTAACACACAATTCTCTGCTATATTTCTAATGTAGTCACAATGCTTGTTGTTTCTAGACCGCAGGGCCCAAACTTCAGATCCGGAGGCAAATATTTGTGATGTCACAGAGATGGGCAAGCAAGGGTCAGGAGGGGAAAGTTTCTTCCCAGGCTTGCTGATACTATTGCCAGAACTTGTGCAGCAAGAATGCTAAAGAATTATTACATTGATGCTTGTTAGCCTTCTTCCAGATAGTTTGATAGGCCATATATGAGTATGCCATTTTTGGTATCACCTGGCAGGACAAAGTTCCAAATAGAGTAGTCCTAGAATGAGCTGGATTTTTTTAGCATGTATACATTACTGAAACAGCAACGGCTACATTGGGTCAGGCATGTTGTGAGAATGGCTGACGGTTGGATTCCAAAAGATCTCCTGTATGGAGAATTAGTGCAGGGAAAGTGCCCCAGAGGCAGTACAAGGATATCTACAAGTGGGATCTGAAGGCCTTAGGAATGGACCTCAACAGATGGGAAACCTTGACATCTGAGCATTCAGCCTGGAGGCAGGTGGTGCAGCATGGCC